CCTTGACAAACATTGCGCGTAGTTTTGGCTCTTCATTGGAGATTTCGTCATTCATCTGAATGCCGTAAGAAGCTGGTCTAGGTCTTCTTTACGCGATTACGAGAATAGCTGAGTAGGATGCCCCCATATGCTCATACGGAAGAGCGATGCGGACGTAGACGAACTTTACATTCTGATAGCAAAAATCATTGCCCACTAAGTTTTTATATCCTCCGTTTATGTTTTTAGCACATATATCGGCTGTTTATCGTAATGGCATGTCTTAGGTGAATCACATCCTTTGATTTTGAGGTGTTCTCGCTTGAAAAAATGCTTGAAAACGGGATCCAACACACAACTCAGGTTTGTATGTCAACTTATGATTTAAATGCATTCTGCTACCCTTCCATCCATTTCATATTTTCCAGTCAAAGCACGTAGTGATCAGGCGACAAGCTAGTCTTCACTACCTTCAAATATATTGACTTCTCATTTGACTTTCACAAAGCAAAGATGCGCATATTTTTACTGTTCTTTTTGTGCAGTGTAATTCATAAAAGTGGCAGCCAACTCAATTTGAGGCAAAGTCTTACACAGAGAGGCCAGTACCTCAGATTATACCTTTTGTTACTGCAGCAGTGTGAAATATGTCCTGCATTCAGGTGGCCACAGTATGAGCTAATAAGATTCGGTTACTTTAGAGCTCTAACATATACTTTTTCTATTTGAAATAAAAGCATTTTTTCAGACAAAAGAGCAAGATGAGGAGTTTATAGCTCTCCGCCTTCAAGTAAAAGGAATGACGAGCTAATGGCTCTCATGAGCACAGAGGTTGAACCGATATGATTTTATTGCTTATTTCAAGTTTCGTATCCTTCAAACCAAACATCAATTTAGAGTGAAATGACAAGAGACGAGAAACGTAGTAATGAGCGCTCTTTTCAAAGCTGTGTGCTGGGATCGCCTGCCGTAGAACCATCGAGCGAAGTTAAGAAGAAGTCGAAATTTTTGAAAGTACCGAGGCACCTGAGGAGAAGCAGAAAAATTAGGTATGCTGTTACGAGCTGCATGTGTATCTTTAGGCGCAAGTGAATCGTGCTGTGGATCACGGCACAGTTTGCTCAGAAGTCCCACTCACTTCATATTCCTCACCATAAGCCTTTATAATTTGAGATTACTACTTTATGCTCAATTAACAACCTTCATAGTTATCTAACTAGCAAATTACGAAAAGTAATAAACGTGGCGTCATAGCGCTGATCTTATCCACAACTTGTGCCCCTTCATTTATCTAAAAATTCACTATTTGGTAGATGACAATGTCGAGTTTCACACAGTTTCAAAAAGTACCATGCGAATAATAACTAAATTTCATTAGAAAAATTATTGGCAGCTAAGGCAAACACAGCAGCAAATAATACTAACCAGACATCTTACATACAAGTCGCCGTACGCTTTACACGAAAGGTTCGGTCCTTTCACAGCGACTGTGTGCTAAAAAAATTGGGCCACAGTGTTGTTTGAGGTGAAGTTGAGCAATTGTGACGTGAAAAAAAAAGAATTTCGTTCAGATGTGCGATGCCATCTTTTTTGTCGAACAACAGCGCTCTTCTCCATGCTCAGCTGCCGTTCACTTCGTTTACTTTCTTTACGCCTCTACTTTCACTCTCACCGTTGTTATTATATTGCTATGGTTGTATATAAAGGTTGAATATCGAGTTTGAGACATTGTGATATGACAAATCTAAGCAAACTCCTAAGCGGGGCACACAAGAAAATGGAGCAAGTTCATAATAGCAATGATTTTTATTGCGCAACTTTGTATTCATACTGAATTTCTGCATATTTATTTTCGTAGCTCAATCCTTTTATCCGCTTCGCTGAGTTCATTGAGAATGGCCTCCCGCATCACTGACACTTACCAAAAAGATGGCGATGTTAGTGACAAATGAATATTTGATAAGGATTTCCCATAAATCCGGTACCTTTCAGTCAAACAATTTTGTTATCCACTGCAGTGTGACGGTAAACAGCTTTGGCGATATAGTGTCGCCTTGTCGGACCTATTTTTCCGTGGCTATCTTGTTTGGTGCTCGAGCGAATGTGGCGCACTGGTTAGAGGTGCTCTGCGTCGCACATGAGGTCAATGGTTCGTTCTTGCGCTCATGGCTCATCAAGCCATCCCTCCCTCCGGAGTCGGTAAAATGATACTAGACTGGTCTCAAACTTGTCTGGGAGGATAGGCGGCACTGACTCGGTTCACTGGGAGGCCACTGCGAGTCACTGTAGAGGCCGAACATGCATTCAATCTCCTCAAAAGAAGTTAAAATATTGAAGAGGAATGCATGGCGCATCCCTCGGGGATTGATCAACGTCGAGAGCTCTATCCTTTATCCTTTATCTTGATTGGTCTATGAAAGAGCCGTGCTTTCGTGCTGCAGTTTCGGCTGCAGTCTGCTAATATTCACTTATAATTCGGGTCTCCATCATGGTCGACGAGCGCTGATAAGATTGCATTTGTTAAAACTCTGCTAAACGCCTTCTCAAAGTCATTAGTAGTTAGAGCAAGAGGCATTCGGTGCTACCAATAGACTCAGTGACTCACGACAAACGAGATTGGTCATACTGGTTTAGAAATTTGTTCAACTTTATTAGATTCTTTGATAAAGCATACAAGAATATGTAAGCGATGCCGTGCAATACGCGCATAACAGTCACTATCATTTTATAACGGTGCAGAAGTCCCTCTCTTCCTTTCATTCTCTGGCCAGTAAGATGGCAATTAGTGGATGGCTGACAACGGGAATTCAAAAGTGCTCCATTGAGGCTATTCCAGGATTGTAGGGTTTCAAAAATGCAGAGTCTTACAGTAATGCCTTGAAAGTTATATTCCTCCTATCAGATATTATGAACTTTCGATACATGTTCCAGTTTTGGTAAACAGCTCAGCTTTTTCTTAAGTGGTCATCGTAATTGTTATTTATAGGAAACGATCATTATGATGTTTCTTAATTACTAGCCAATAACAATCGAGTGTACAGCACTGCCAATCTACAAATTTCTTTTACTTGACGGCACGCATGAGTAGTACGTCTGCGCCTTCTCTATTTGAGGGAATGGGGACCCCCGAGAGGATTGGCTAAGACAAAGGGTACTGCCCAACTGACGAAGCTGTTAAGGAAAAAACACTTGCATTACTCTCTATCGCTTGCCCATAACAGAGCAGATGTATGACTCGAAAAGATAAATATCAGATATGTACCTAAGAAAATTGAGTGGTAAGCAAGAGCACAAAAAACACAACATTAGTTAATTAATTGATTAATTAATTAGTGCAATGGCTGTCAGCTCAGCTGGGTTCACAAAGCAAAATCGCATACTCGACCACACCTGTTCAAGGTTGGTGGCTGATACCTAACAATAAGATGTTTAAGAATGAGTAGTGGTGCATATGTGCCTCGGCGTTGTAATAGTAGAGCACGCCTCCCTGGCGGATAGGATGAGACGGGGGTTCGATTCTCGCCTGAGGCCGCGTTTTTGCTCACCATTCAGTTCTCTTGGGTATATGCAAACTATAATAAACTAAAAAAATGCAGTAAACACTAAAAATTTTGAGTTTCAGATATATCTTATCCTTATGTACAGAAGGCAAGGAAATGGTGATCTTTTTGATAGGTTTTTCATAGTCTATCCGCATTCCGGATAGTACCTAAAATTAGGATTGATTCTTTCTTTTTTTTTTTGGGGGGGGGGAGAGGAGATTTTATACGCAGATGTAAGGAAACTCTGAATGTTAAAATGATCAGCAGACATGAAACAATTCTTCAATCTACGTGTGAGATTTATTTGAGAATTTCTTTTTTGCACTAGTACCTTTAAAGTTCCTCCAACAGAAGGAAATTAAGTGTTTATAATAGTAGGTTGTTTCTATCAAAAATTTATTTTAACAGTAAAATCACAATTCGTTTTCTCAAATTCTGCTTCTCCTCGGGATTTCTACGGGAAGAAACCTTATTGGTTATTCTCCAGCTTTAACACCCGACGCTCATGGAATTGATGTTGAGATATATAATATTTCTCAAGACTAACTTCCTGCAAATCTTTTCATAAATCAAATAATTCACTGCTTTCTTAGTGAGCAAACAGGGAATTGTTAATAACTAGATTCATTCAGCGCAATATTAACTGGTGTCTCAGAGGTTTCGCTTTTCTAAGAGCCTGGAAGAACCACACTCTCACTAACTTACCTTCATAACGCCAGCGAAAATTTTATGGCTGAATTTTTCACGAAAAAGTTGGCGAAAATCGATCAAGCACTTTCTGCTGTGGCCATGAAATTGCTCTACTGAGTATATCGCATGTCATTTTGGCCTTTCCAGCTTCTGAGGAAGGCGAAACCACCGAAAAGTCAATCATTATTGTACTGCAGAGATCTTGTGAACAGTTTCGTGTCTGTCTACTTATCAAAAAAAAAACATTGAATATACTTAATCGTCTAAGCTGAGTACAAAAGTGAAAAATGTAATTTATTCGTTTATCATGGCCAATATTTTTAGATATTCGCTTCGTTTCTCATATTCTAAGCGTCTTCATTCGCTTTTTAGAAGAGAGACTTCCTCAAACGATTTTCTTCGGCTGTGAACGGCCACACAAAAGACATCTCACATACTACCTTTGCTGCTTTTTTCCCTTATACTACAATTTTCTCATTCCTCTCTTCTGCAATGTTTTGGTTTCAGGAGTACGTTTTTTGAGATAGTTTTCAGAAGTACAATGGAATGCTGCTCTTACAGGAGTCGGTTGAGCGACAAATTCTAAAAATTTTGGTCGGTAACAAGTGTGACCTACGCCGTCATCTAGGATAAGTAATGTCAAGTAAGGATAGCGAATTCGGGGTCAGAGATGAGCCTTGTGAAAATAAATGGATTGGTATAAAGTTTTTATGTCATAAATATCATATCACCGCCTAATATAAATAATTATTCTCATCTTCTTTTATTCATGCGGATATCAGAGCATCTTGGCTGCACCGACTCTAACGACAGTTCTTTAAAGCAATCTTTTCTGAACCGGTCATAAAAGGTTTTTCTGACTTTAGATCTAACTTTAGATTCCACTTGCAAAAATCCTTTCTTGCTGGAGAATTTCCCCTAAGCTTGTTAGTTATACTGCCTTCCCTTCTGTTGTTGTGCAATAGTGACAATGAGGATGCTTTCAAGAATCCTTATTAAGGAACTGAGGTAAGTCGACAACGAGACTTGAATCGATCGAACAACACCCTGCAGCTTTTGATGTAATCCTTCTTTATCTGTCTCTTATAGAAAAAAAAATTATATTGAGATTGTTCTAGTTATACATAGATTGACTGGTTATTCACAGAAGATGACGGGAGTACTTCTGCAACTTCTGGCTAATTTGTCTCTTTCGAAAGGAAAATCGACCATTAGAGCCAGTAGAAAAGCCATTTACCACACTTTCTTAAGCAGTAGCATATTCCGCTTGCAAGATACTAGGAATCTCTATCTCTGCTTGAGCAGTCTGTTACCTCCTATAGACCCTAAGTCAGCCTAGTTGGAGTATCTTTGTCCGAGCTGTAACAACCGCGGTGAATCAGAGAGACTTTTCCTGTGTTTTACTTATCTACTGATGCAACGACGAAGATAAACATTCGAATGTAAATGTCGTACTGCTTTTCAGCTTGGAAGGCTCCGCTGTGCATTGCAACCTGACACTCAGCAACGCTTTTCAGCCACGATGTTGCGATAAACCATTCTGAGCCGAACTAACCCTCACCAAAATCGAGCATACATTCCCACTAATGCTATAACAAACTTTAAAGCAAAAAAATGTAGGTAAAAAGGTAATAAAGAATGTGAGTCGAAATAAATGCGAGACTTTTACACTACTTAATGAATGAACGAGTCCGACAATACTACTTCTCATGGTTGACACGCTATCGCATGCTGAATAAGACCATCATTCAGACAAAAATTACTTCCAAAAAGATCAGATGAAGCGCAACAAGGTAGCCCCGCAAACGCGACTGTGATCATTTATAACGTCCACTGCCCATCGAGCTGCTGATGCTAGATGCCATCAACAGAGTTGACAAGGCACTTTGTGGATGGCGATCATAGCAGAAAATATAGTGGAAAGTGATTAGACTATGAGATGCTACCACTTCTTATTTCACCTACGTAAGTGCGCATTTTGCTGTTAATACGGAAGCGTTAGCAAATACCTGAGATGGGTTGAAATTTTCTATTGAGCTCTTATGGCTTCTTAGTGAAGCATTCTACAATATCAAGGCGACATTTAGTTTTTCCCACTTTCATATGTAAAATCAGCTTCCAAAGACAATGCCTAGAAGATTACGAAAAACGACTGTTTTCTTGAAAAAATATTGCAATCAACAATTCTGAGGCCTCTCTCAAAACAGTATGATCTAACAATGTATTTCTAGCGTTTCATGAGGTCTGTCATGGGCACTTATACAGCGCAAGACACGTGTTCGGCCTCACAGGCTTGTCAGTTGCACGGCGCTTTTCGTTCAGCCGTCATTTCCTCGAGAATCTACTCCAGTGCTTGCTACATATGCCCACGTAATTCCCATACGCCATATGATCGATAACACTCTGAAAAAATGCCACGGTGTTTGTTCACCGCACGCTGAGTGTAAAAAATTTCCTCAATAAGAGTATTTAGAGGAGGAACTGACTGGACGGAAAAATACCGTGCACTGACGAGGCTGTAAGACCTAAACACGTGCCTTGCACTATATATGTGCCTATAACAGACCTCGAGAAAGGCTCAAGAGACATTGTTAGATTACACTGTTATCAGTTATTAACAATCTAATCCTGAGATCTTCAAAAATTGATTTAAGTAAACGACAATACTTAATTCAGAAAGGACCACTTCTTGATAAATAGTAGTTTTTTCATATGATCTATCCATTTATCACCAATGTCGATGTTTACTAACTTATAAAGACTAAACAGAGAAAATTCAAAAAAGTGAATGCTCTCTTCCAGAGATATGAGAAGTGAGCACAAGTTATAGCCAACGGTCGCAAATGCCGATACGGAGTGTGATCCAAACGGGCACGATGCCAAAATTCGAACCGCTCTGTTCACTATACTTTGCCACATCTGTCTCGACCAGTTCGCCATGATGATGTTCGTAATCTACACAAATGTGTTTCTCAAAATAAGTCTATTGAGAAAAAAAAAAGCATTTCAAACCGTAAGAGATCCAGAGATTGACGAATGACTGGAGGGAATAGCTGATATCTTGGTGCCCATGCTTATATCACAATCGTTATTTGCTCCAATTCCAGTGCATACAGAAGTCACCGTGTTGCCAATAATGATGCAGTGCGGCTCTACCCCCATCTTCCCGACTGGAAATCACTTCTATTTTCAAACTCTTGTTTTTATCAAAAAGTTATGCATATACAGAAGCTAGTTTTCGTCAGTAATTGCCAAGCTTTTTACATGTACTATTACATAGTGAAATAATGACTAAAGGTGGATATCATTTTCGCGTTTTCGTTGAGATTAAGATCGCAATGTCAATCAGTGTTTTTTGTTCTTCCAGCTTTGCGCTTCTGTTGCAGAAATGATTGCGTTAGTACTCTGCACAAGCACAAGAACAGCCCTGAAGATATTGCAGGAATTCTGCTCTCTCAAGGTTTCCTGTTGAAAGTGGAACTTCAAATTATTCAATTAAATTATTTGCAAATAACTAAATTTTTGCACACGAAGGAGAGAGTGGAAGAATATTTTACGCGTGCAAAAGAAGATTAATGATAGGAAATTGAGCTCTTCACTATCCTTAAACCACACTTATTTTCTTGACGACTATGAACAATGATCGCAAAAGCCAGCGGCACGACAGTGAGTACAAAGTGACATGATTTGAATTAGAAGGTAGATTTGGATTTGAAAACTTTGCAAGAGCTCAGTCCTCGGATCATCTCAACCAAAATTGATTGGTGGATTAATGAAGGCTTAAAGAAGTAAAGCCAACCAATTATGGCTATATATAAAACTTATTCGCAATTATCTCACTTCTGCAAGCACTACGGTCAAATGGCATCGCCATTTACACAACGGTCTGGTCGATAAGTGGAAGAAGTCGAATACTGATCGAATCTTATTGACACTCTGTATCAACTGCATAAGATCTGTCCACTAAGGTCGGCATCACTATAGGTGGAAGAAGTGTTAAAAGCAACAGGGAAAGTAACCACTTCAATAGACTGCACTAAAATCTTTTGGGTGTATGACGTTTTTCTAAAACAGCGATGAACAAAGGCGAGGACATCGTAATTGCCCGCAAAGATATGCAATTTAACAAAAAGCTTAGCGGCGTTTACCGATTCTCGTGCTTATTCTGAACGTCCGGACGTTTTACTTAACGATAAAATCAACTTGCCAGCTACCAGCAGCAAGTTTTACGAAACGTACTGGTGCCTTGAACTACTCAACATTTTGGCACCGACGAAATTACCCTTCAATACTGTTGGG